AATTCGGCACACCCCTCACACGTTTCGTGGCCCCATAGGGAGCCCCACCGAAGGCCCCAGTGCTGCCGCCCGCATGCGTCCCGCACACCCAATTCGGCACACCCCTCACACGTTTCGTGGCCCCATAGGGAGCCCCACCGAAGGCCCCAGTGCTGCCGCCCGCATGCGTCCCGCACACCCAATTCGGCACACCCCTCACACGTTTCGTGGCCCCATAGGGAGCCCCACCGAAGGCCACAATGCTGCTGCCCGCATGCGTCCCGCACACTCAATTCGGCACACCCCTCTCACGTTTCGTGGCCCCATAGGAAGCTCCACCGAAGGCCCAAGTGCTGCCGCCCGCATGCGTCGCGCACACCCAATTCGGCACACCCCTCACACGCTTCGTGGCCCCACCGAAGGCCCCAGCGGCGGCGCTCACATGCGCATGCGTCCCGCACGCCCATTTCGGCACACCCCTCACAGGCTTCGTGACCCCATCATCCACCGGAGGCCCCAGTGACCGCGCTCACATGCGTGACCCACACCCACCTAATTCGGCACACCCCTCACACGCTTCGTGGCCCCATAGGGAGCTCCACCGAAGGCCCCAGCGGCCGCGCTCACATGCGTCCCCGCCACACATCTCGGCACGCCCCTCACAACAACAGGCTTCGTGGCCCCATAGGGAGCTCCACAGAAGGCCCCTGTGGCACCGCCCGCATGCGTCACCAATTCGGCACACCCCTCACACGCTACGTGGCCCAATAAGGAGCTGCACCGAAGGCCCCAGTGGCGGCGCTCACATGCGTCCCCGCCACACATCCCAATACACCCCTCACGCGTGGCCCCATAGGGAGCTCCACCGAAGGCCCCAGTAGCGGCGCTTACATGCGTCTCTGCCACCCATCCCGGCCCCCCCCGCAGCAGCATCATGTTTCGGGGACCCATAGGGAGCTCCACTGGAGGCCCCAGTGGCGGCCCTCACATGCGTTTCCGCCACCCATATCGGCACGCCCCGCGCGTGTTTCATGTCCCCATCGGGAGCTTCACCGAATGCCCCAGTGGCACCCATCTCGGAACACCCCTCACACGCTCCGTGGTCCTATGGGGAGTTCCACTGAAGATGAAACCCGCAGCTGCGGTACTGACAACTGCATATGGTTGGGTTCTTCGCCAGGCTAATATTTGTCAAGTTTGGCCCCCGGGCTCTACTCTTGCACAACAGACCACAATTCAGATCCCCCTAACCTCCAAAAAAAAAACCAAGAAGCCTTTGAGGGCCCCAACTCGTTGAATACCTAAAGGGCATTCGTGATTTCTGCGTTTCCGCGCTTCCCCTTCTATACGATTCCGAGGCGTGCGCAGGGCCTCCAAGGGAAGCGACCAAAATGAGATGACATGAGTTAGCTTCTCAAGCCTAGCTAGAATTTGGGCGCGCGCGAAGCGCGCGCGATGGTTCTTGTCTATATATATGTGTATATATACATAATAATAAATAAACGAGGAAGAAGAAGAAACAAAAAAAAACGCCACCGTTCCCCCTGGCAATATGTCTGGTAGGGATTGTGTAATCTTCTATGGGGCCCCCCCTCTGGGCCGCACCTCATTGCGCGCACTGGCTATACTCCCGGAGGATCCCTGGGTGGCCATGGCGCCTCTCTGGGGCTTTCCAAGGATTCCATGACGGCCCAGGAGGCCCCCAACACTGTCCAAGAGAGCCCCGAATCGCCGAACGATCGCCCGAAGACGCCCAACATGGCCTCAAGATGGCGCAAGAGGCTTCCAAGGCGCCCCAAGAGGCCTCCAAGACGTCTCACAAGAGGATCCCCTCAGGTAATTTCTCCGACGGAAGAACCCCACATAAGAATCCTCTGGGCGAATCTGGAAAAAAAACATCACCGTCGTCCTCGTGGTTGGTGAGGCGTCCTGGCTGTCTCTTCTGCGTATATTTCCTGTCGCCTTGGCGCGGGCCCCCCTTCCACTCCTTACGTTGTCCCCATCCTCGCCCCCCTGTTTGTTCCGCGCCCCGCCACCTCCTCCCCTTCCTGTTGCATGAGCGCGCATGTCGATGTTCCTCGGCGCCGTCGCCGCCACGGCCAGCACAGGCGCGTTCTCTACTGGTCACGTCGCGCAGCCGTTGGGACAACCCCGCGGGCCAGGCTGTCGGGACAACCCCGCGAGCCGTTGGCGCGCAAGACCAAGCCGTTGGGACAACCCCGCGGGCTTCGAGCGAGGCGCAGCCGCGCTCAGGCGGAAGGCAGCACGAAGCCCAGCTCTGCCGCGAGCTGCTTCGCCTCCGCCCTGGACAAAACCGCCTGAGACTTCCTCCATATTCAGGCTTGAGGAGCCCAAAAGTGACAACAGTTACAGGGTTCCGATGACCCGCTCGGATTACCAACATGATCTGCGGGCCCCATAGGGAGGGAGCTCCCGCCTGAGACTTCCTCACAATTCACTCAGAGACGAGGCTCCCGCCTGAGACTTCCTCCAAATTCAGGCTTGACGAGCCCAAAAGTGACGACAGTTACAAGGTTCCGATGACCCGCTCGGATTACCAACATGATTTGCGGGCCCCATAGGGAGGGGGCTCCCGCCTGAGACTTCCTCACAGTTCACTCACAGACGAGGCTCCCGCCTGAGACTTCCTCCATATTCAGGCTTGAGGAGCCCAAAATTGACGACAGTTACAATATTCCGATGACCCGCTCGGATTACCAACATGATCTGCGGGCCCCATAGGGAGGGGGCTCCCGCCTGAGACTTCCTCACAATTCACTCAGAGACGAGGCTCCCGCCTGAGACTTCCTCCAAATTCAGGCTTGACGAGCCCAAAAGTGACGACAGTTACAGGTTTCCGATGACCCGCTCGGATTACCAACATGATCTGCGGGCCCCATAGGGAGGGGGCTCCCGCCTGAGCCTTCCTCAGAATTCACTCACAGACGAGGCTCCCGCCTGAGACTTCCTCCAAATTCAGGCTTGAGGAGCCCAAAAGTGACGACAGTTACAGGTTTCCGATGACCCGCTCGGATTACCAACATGATCTGCGGGCCCCATAGGGAGGGAGCTCCCGCCTGAGACTTCCTCCCAATTCACTCACAGACGAGGCTCCCGCCTGAGACTTCCTCCATTTTCAGGCTTGACAAGCCCAAAAGTGACGACAGTTACAGGATTCCGATGACCCGCTCGGATTACCAACATGATCTGCGGGCCCCATAGGGAGGGGGCTCCCGCCTGAGACTTCCTCACAATTTACTCAACGATGATGAGGATGAGGATGATGAGTGGTGGTGAAGATGAGTGGTGAAGAGGATGATGATTGATTGTGAGTGGTGGTGGCGATGATGATGTTAGAATGAGGATGATGCCGATGCCGATGATGATGATGATGATGATGATGATGATGATGATGATTGATGATGATGTGTGAGCGTGTGAGAGAGTGCGAGTGATGATGATGATGAGTATGTGAGTGACTAAGCATGTGAGAGAGCATCATCGATGATGCTGATGAGGTTGATGATGAGAGAGTGTGAGTGAGTGTGAGTGGGTGTGTGTGTGTTCCTGTCCTGTTCCTGCGCGGGGTGTCCAGAGAAAACAAGAACACCACTTTGGATGTGGGGAAAAATCATTGATTTCCCTAAGGTTGTTGAAGGATGTGGGCGATCTCGCCTTTTCTGCTTGCGGACGCTCCTAGACGACCCAAGAGGCCCCCAAGACCACCTCAAAACGGCACAAGGCCATGGACGACACGAAGACGGCTGGCAGTCTCAATGCGCTTCATCGTGCCGCTCCTGACTTCGACGGCTCGCGTCCAACAAGGAGAAGATGAAGCAGTCGTTAGCCATCACTACTGGCAAAACTATCTGATCATCTTCAACATATTCCTCGCCCGGTACTTGCACGGCCTTTGCTTCTTGGGTAAATATCATACTGCTTCCTGTTCCTCCCGCCCTTGAAGTGTTGCTTCGCTGCTGTTGCCTTGGGTACTATCATCTCGTGGGCATGCAGCACCTGATTGGGTTCACGAATGGACGGAGTCTTACGAATATTTCGATTATTTCGAGGCAGAACTACTGCAATCAAGGGCTACGTCTTCGCGTTATGGCGACGTTATCCATGCTTGGTGGGTACTTGAATCCAGTCATATTCAAGAAGCGGCTCTCCTTGAACGTGCTGTAGACCTCTTATTCGTCCTTCCTCTTTCTATCACCCTTCGGACTAACCAGAAGTCCAGCGTAGATTATCGGATACCATTTCATGGGGTATGCCGTGACTCACGCAAGGAGTTGGCCTGCCAACACCGTGGTAACCGATGGCATGGTCGTGGTCGTGGCCGCAGTAGACCCCAACCAATACGTGTCTATCCACCTACCCGTGCGAAGAGTTGGACGGTGCCCATCTAACGCTGAGGCCATGCGTAGTGCCGCAACGGAGGCTCGCGCGTGCTGAGATTGAGATGGGTCCTCTTTCGCTTTCTTTCTCTCTCTCTCTCTCTCTCTCTCCCTCTCTCCTTTTCTCTCCGTCCCACCCTGACGCATGCACATCTGTGTCCTGGCGCGCCGAGCCAATAGGAGACACGCGGCTTTGGCAAACGACCAAGCCAACAGGTGACAGGCTGTCCCAGCGAGCCGCCGAGGCAACAGGTGACAGGCCGTCCGGCGAACGGTCGAGCTAACAGGTGACATGGTTTCCCCTTCCTCCTTCCGCTGCTGTTGCCCAATGCCTTTGGGGCACAATGAGCGCGCTCGCGTCCCCAGGTCGTGCTCATTGGACGCGCGCGTGACGGCCCGTCGCCCGTCGCGACAGCTCTGGGAGAAAGGTACACTCATGTTTGCCCCATTCATCTTAGCTTCAGACTCTGTTCCTCTCCTTCTCTCCCTCCTTCCCCCTCTCTCTCTCTCTTTCTCTCTTTGTTTCTCTCTCTCTCTCTCTCGCTCTCTCTCTCTCTCTCTCTCTCTGTATGTACAACGGTAAAACACTTACGAAAGGAAGTGAGGACAACGAAGAACGCCCACGTGGACTCCTTGTAGAAGCCGTCCGCGTCGCGCTTCAGCCGCTGGTTCCACGGGCTGCCCGCCTGAGGGCGGCGGGAGGGGAGAAGTGGAAAAGGGCGACTGCAGGAAGCGCAGGGGGAGAGAAGAAGGAGGGGGAGAGAAGGAAGAGGGGGAGAGAAGGAATGGGGGAGAGAAGGAGATAAGAAGAATGCGGAGGAGGAGGAGGAGGAGGAGGAGAGACAGAAACAGGTAGGGCGGCGAAGTCTGTGCATATCCACTGCCCCCTGGCCAGGTCCATCCTGAACCCAGCAGCGGGGTACATGCCACGCCCTCCTGACTTGGCCGGGAGGGCGTATGCACAGCTCCTGGGCCCAGGAAGGGCCTGGCCAGGAGCTCGTCGCCCGAAGAGGGCAGCAGGATGAGGAAGGAAGGGTGGCGGGGAGGAGAAAAAGGAACAGGAGGGGAGGGAGGGCCATCCATCCATCGGGGATCTTCTGACCCGAATCAATCCAGACCCGGGTCAGTCAGGCCTTGCAGAATCCTGCAAGATTCTGCAAGATCCTGCACCCAAACCAGGGTCAATGCGAAGGATCCTGCAAGCTCCTGCAGGATCCAGCACCAAAATGTTGGGCAGGTCGTGACGTCGCATCTGGAGGACGAAGAAGACGACGAGAACGGAGATGAGGGTCAACCGATAAAGAGGTTACGGGCTGGCACGTGTGCACTAAACAAAGGAGGAGGGAAGAGGAGGGAGGAGACGAAGACGGGAGAAGGACATCGGCCACGAGCCCAACTCCTTGGCGCGGGGGAGGACACATCGACCTGGAATCGGCGATACATAACCGATAGATCGGCGATGGGCCCCCGACAATGAATCCGCACGTTCCTGGGCAGGTTGGAGCTATCGGCCGCCTATCGGCGATCAATGGGCGATGGGGGGTCGATGCATCCCCACGGTTGCCCACCCCCCCTATCGTTGTCCATGAATAAAGAAGACGACGACGAGAAGGGAGAGGAGGAAATAAGAAGGATGAGGATGACAGCAAGTAGCGAGTAGAACAGACAAGGGGAGGAGGGGGAAAGGAGGGGATACACATCGGAAGAAGAGGTAACGGGACGGAACTGAAGGAGGTAGGGAGGGAAAAGGGAGGAGGGGGTGAGGGGGGGGCTAGCGGCGCTTCCTGCATCGCCAGTTCTGCGCCAGCCCTGATGTTCTTCAGGATCCCTGGGGCAAACTGCTGCATCAGGTACTCGATCCACTGCTCTCTAAGCGAGACGCCAGCCTTCGGGAGGAGAGCGGGATGGGAGGACGGCTGTGGATGGGAAGATCTCACCCGCCACGGCGTCGTGCCGTGTGGCTGGTGTGAACCAGGGCTTAACCAGAAATCGGTTTCGGCTTCGATTCGGCACGTGTCGCGTCCTACGCGCGGGCGAAGCGAGGGTGTGCAAGCTGGTGCGAGGCGATAACCAGCCGCAGCGGAAGACGAATGCGACAAACACATTGGCTATGCGGTGTTTGCCCCATAGTTGTCCCGGGGTTGTGACGCGGTTGTCCCTTCTTATCACCCGCGGAGTGGTATTGCTATCGGCATGTATACCTCATCCGAGATGGTGGACGCACAACCACAGCAACCTATGTTTCATCATGTGTTGTTTACTGGTGAGAGGGGGCAAGATGAAACAACCTCCGTCAGCGCATGGTTGTTCCCCATCGCACCTGCACTCTGCAGACGGCGACTAAGAACGTGCCCGTCTGGTTCCCGCCCGCGGGCAACCACAAATTCTTGGTGTCCACGGACACTCTCCGGGCCCACCATGGCCTTTCAGGAAGCTCATGGACGTGCTCGGTATCGTTGAACTCGGACAGAGCGCGCTCTATGATGAATCCGTACCCGTAGTTGCTCACCCGGAGCAGCTCGAAGATTGTTTCCTGGCTCGCCGCCGCGGTTCATCATGCCTACGCCACCTACCGCTGCTTTCCTCGATATGTTCTTCGACGGGCAAACGAGCACAACGAGACACGTGCACGGCAAGTCGCATAAGCGAAAAAAGACAACGCATCGCGATGGGAAGAACTCAGTGGCAATCTCTGCGGCCGCAACTTGAACCAGGACTCCGATATGTTCCCCCAACGCTGACGAGTGAGCACCGCACGCAGCACAGACGCAAAAGCCACACCACGGCACAGGAAATGGAGCGGGAGTCGAGACGGACGCGTCCATCCACGCCGCCTGCACGGGGGGGGGACGCAAAGGCTGGACGTGAATGCGCGTTCGATTTCTGCACCAAGTGAGGCGATACGATACAAGGAAGCTGGAAAAAAGGAGGTCGGAAATCCTCCCTCATCCTCCACTCCTCCCTCTTTCTCCACATCTTCCTCCTCCTCCTCCTCCTCCTCCTCCGCCTCCTCCTCCTCCTCCTCCTCCTCCTCCTCCGCTCCCCCGTGACTGGAAAACCTACGTGGGGGGAAACTGGCCAGGGCTGGAAAGAGTGAAAGGGCGGGCCCCAGCCACCTGTCCCTGCGTGCCTGCAGAGTGGTGCTGGGCAGGAGATCTCTTCTCCCGCGTCGCCCCTCTCCCGTGCAAGCAGGACGATTGCGCTGAGACCACGAACGTGCCGCCCAACGCGCCCAGAACGCCTGGGCAGGGATGAGCGCACTCCCATCGCACCACCGTGGGGAGCGCCGAGAAAGCGGAGCGAGGTGTCCGCTCTAGCCAACTGGACACGACGAGCCTCGGCCGCGAATCGGTTCCCCGACCTGGCTCCGAGGAGCGGCCCAACTTGAACTCCTCCTCCGCCTCCTCCTCCTCCTCCTGCTCCTCCTCCGCCTCCTCCTCCTCCTCCTCCTCCTCCACCTCCCTCCTCCTCCTCCTCCTCCTCCTCCTCTTCCTCCTCCTCCTCCTCATCCACCTCCTCCTCTTCCTCCTCCTCCTCCTCCTCCTCCTCCTCCTAGCCATTTCCAGGTTTCAAGCTTGGTAACCTTTGGGCCGGCGCACTTGGAAGTGGCGCAGCCAACCGAGCCTAACTCAGAGATTCTGAGTGTGGATCGAGGGCGCCTCAACATGTCATCAATCAACAACGTGAGCAGCGGCAGCAAAAGTCCTCGGGCTGGAACGGCAAGGTGCAGCGGGCCAACGCCTGGCTCAACGGTCCTCCTGTCCACCAGAGCCAAGGGGGCTCAAGGGCGGGTGGGCGCACCAGCACCAGCGTCGCGGACTTGCCAAATGAGGATATCATCAAGCTGCTCAAGTCACGAGGGCTTCAAGCGGGCTCGGACCTCGACACCAAGCTCACTGAAGTGCTCAAGAAAGCTGAACAGCCAGGGCCTGCAGACCTTGGCTCCAAGGGGCTCCAAGACCTGCTCCAGAGGCAGTCGAGGAAGCTCAAGCAGATCGAAGGGTCCGCCGAGAGAGTGCAGAATGCCAAGATCGCGCCCGAGGAGGCCCAGCGAGTCTACGAGCAGGAGTGCCAGCAGCTCAAGGCGCACCAGGACACCCTCGCGGAGATCGACAAGTTCATCAAGAAAGCCCAGGCCGCCACCGTCCTGCCCGAGCCGCCTGAGCAAGATGGGGAGTCTGACCCTACGCACGAGATCCAGATGCTGGAGGTTCTTGAGCTGGCTGTCAAGAAATACACCACGCGCTTCGCCATCGATGCCACTGCGGCCCTGGCGGCCACGGAGGCGAAGAAGGCGGAGTACACATCGAAGTTGCCGAGAGCTGAAGAGCCTTCCTCACCTCAGCCTGCTACTGGGACTTGTGCTCCTCCTGTTGGCGCAGGTGGGTCAGATCCAGACATCATCGTCCTTGACCCAGATGACAGCGAGCTCAAGGCGAAGCTCAAGCGAGCTGGGTTTGATTCCACTGATGATCCAGAAGCTCTGCGCAGGTTCCTGGCGGACATTGCAGGGCACGCCAAGCGTCAGCGAGTGGGGTAGCAGCCCACTCAGCACATCCAGTATTGTTCTTTGGACGCCCAATCCCAGCACGCGGTCCGCTGCGCAGGCCATGTTGGAGTGGGCGAAACATGATCATGAAGGTCGACCAGCACTCCCTGATGTTCTCTGTCTCCAGGAGCATCGTCTCAAGGATTCGTTCAGGCACCAGAGCGCCGTCAAGTGGGCGCGGCAGCGTGGATTTCAGGCATCGATGCCGAAGGCAAATATTACAGGGCCAGGCCCTACAGAGTCCAGTGCGGGATGCGCTGTGCTCAGTCAGTTGCCATCAGACAAACTGGACTTGAGTGGTGGGAAAGAACTTCCGTCTTCCAGGATTGCTTCATCCCTGATCAGCGTTGGTCTTCCGATACCCTTGGTGGTAGTATCAATATACCTTCATACCAGCGTCGGCCCCGCAGGAAAGAATATCGAGCTTCTGGGCAAACTGCTTCAAGCAGCTGGCAAGCTACAGTTTCCTTGGGTAGTTGCTGCGGGTTGGAACCTGTTGCCAAGTGATGTAGAAGAGTGGTCAAAGCGTGTGCAAGGAGAAATCCTTTCCTCAGGGGAGCCTACCTTCGGAGCGAGGGGGCTGGACTTCTTCGTCTGCAGCAGAGTCATGATGCCGTTTGTTGAATCGGTTTATCTTGTTCCTGAAGCTCCGGCAAAGTCACGCGCGCCAGTTGCCTTGAAGCTCAGCGGCATAGGAGTGCAGGCCAAGGTTCCGCGGCTGCTGGCGCCTAGGAAGTTCCCCATCGAGAAGCCACCTCCTGTACGCAGAGCGCCTCCTGAAGCTCGTGAGGATCAGCGGCCGTGGCGGATTGGTTCTGAGTGCCCTCCTGATATTCAGCAAGCCTGCCAAGTTTGGTTTCGACATGTAGAAGCCTATCTTCTGGAGTTCCATGACATTCAAGGATGGTGTTGTCAGTCATATGCTGGCAGATCTGACGGGCTTCGAGCTCAGCATGTGGAGCTTGACCAAGCATGGAAGAGCGAATTGCGGCAGAACACCACGGTGGAGGGCAGGAAGTGGACATCATTCTACTCGGCGTGCATGAGGCTGCATGCCATAGGCTCTGAGACCCGTACTCGACCTTGCTGCGCAGCAGCGGCAAGAGCGCACTGCCGCTAGAATTGGCATCCCACCGTGGCCCACTGAAGGGCCGCTGGAGAGGTGGCAGCACGCGCCCAGGAGTGCCCTGGTGAGCCTGCTTTCTGATGGGGGGATGAGGCTCTCTCCTTCCTCCTGGGGCTTAGGGGCCACCTCTCTCACCTCCAAGCGAAGGCCAGGGCGGCTGGCGCCAAAGCCTGGAGGGCTTGGGCCAAGGAGGCCGTCAATAATCAAGGGGGGAGGGCTGCTTACGCTTATGTTAGAGAGCCACTGCCTGACACGCAGATATTTTTCGGAGGCCACGGAGCTTGCGCCGCCGCTGCCTGTCTCGGGGCAAAAGGCAGTGGACAGGCTTCTAGAGCAATGGGAGCCGCTTTGGAATGCTCCTAAGAGAGATGGTGAATCCCACCCGAGATCGCGGTGTCCTGGGGCCCTGCCCGTGAGGCCCTCGGAGGCTTCCTGCTGTGCTGTGTCCGACCAGGGGGTTCTGACCTCTGGGGGTCTGGACCCTTGGGTTGAGCTGCCTAGGGTCACCATCTCGCAGCTGAATTCTGCGCTGTCTTCCTACTCGGGTGCCTGCGGGCTGGGGCGGGACCACCTTCACCCGAGGCAGGTTTTTTGGCTGCCAGATTCGTATAAGCAAGCAAGCGTTCCTGGACATCCGGATGAAATGGGGGTCGGATCCTGAGGATCTTGAGCTCTGGACGCCCCTGATCTTTTTCCTGGGCAAACCCTCGCCGTCTACGGGAGTGAGGCCCATAGTGTTGGCTTCCATCTGGGGGCGCATTTGGTCTAGACTTGGGCAGCCTGTAGCTAGGAATTGGGAATTGCTTCTCAATAATGACTCCGTCTGGGGAGTTTCAGGACAGACCTGTGATAGAGCAGGACATGTGCATAATATCATACAGCGCTTCGCCAGACTCAAGGGCTTCTCGGCCGCTAGCGGGCTTCTAGATTTGTCGAAGTATTATGATCATATTTCACATGAAGATCTTTTAAGGGAGGCTCTTGTCACGGGGTTCCCAGTCAGGCTCCTCAGGTGTCTCTGTGCAGGGTACAGATTGCCCAGGCGAGCTAAGCGGAAGTCTTTTATCCCGGGCCAGGTCCGAGCCAACGGCAGGGTGGCGGCTGGATGCAGCTGTGCCTTAGCGCTGGCTAAGCTTCTAGTGCATACTGATACTGTCACTCTCAAGGCTAAGTACCCCATGGTGAGGTTTCAAAACCCAGTAGACGACTTCCTGCTTCAGGCGACCGGAGGCAGGCAGAATGTGCTAGATCAGTTCCCAAAGCCATGTCCGAACTAGCCGAGTCCCTTCAGCAAAGGCAACTCGTTGTAAATTGAGATAAGACAGGCTACATGACCAGTTCAGCGGAGCTGGATTTGGAGTTAAACGAGCGCTGGAGTCTTGGCCACGAGCAGAAGCTTCGTAGCAGCAGGTGTTTAGGTACTGACGCCACTGATGGCTCGTCGAGGAGTGTTCAAGAGCAGGACAAACGTTTGGCCAAAGCGTCATCGGTTTCAAAGCGCGTTTGTTTCGCTCAGGCAGGCAGGAGCTAGTGTCGGCACTATTATGAGGGGGTCTCCTACGGCGACGGCGATGTGGGGGGGCGTCGGTCACTGGCATTGCTGACACTAAACTCGCCGCCTTGAGACTTGCTTCGCTGCGTGCAGAAGGGAGGGCCCCTCCAGGAACCTCTGTTGCGCTCCGTCTGAGGTCGACGCAGCGAGGGTCCACCAGGGACCCCTGGATCGTGCATGTCTGTGATGTAGTCAAGCATTCGACGTTGAGTGTACACTCTTGTATGCCAGGCATCGGTCCGCTGCGGGCTTGTCTTGAGGAAGCGCAGCCGCTCCTCCTGAAGGATCGCCCCTGGGCCCAGGTAG